AATTTATTCTGAATAAATTGAAATCTATTTCAATGAAATCATTTATTAGGAGATACTTCAGTAGTGAATTGTGTTTTATGATCGGCTTTGGACGAAAATATAACCTGAAGTTGTCACACTCAAAAAGTCTGCAACAAACTTGGTTCTGTCTATTATTCAAACGATTGAGAAACCCTCTAGATAAATATGTATCGTTGAATGTCTACTTTTCTACTGCTTACTCTCACATCAGGTTCAGTATCATGTCTTGGGGATATGCAGGGGAGTTCAATTTAGGTTTTCAAAATAGTTACAGACCAATTTTTCTAAGAGAGGGTCTCTTGAATGCACCATATATATTTATCTTGAAATGTACCCTCAAAAATATCAATATATTTACCACAGATTCAGATTTTCATGGTCGAGACACTCGCCATGGCGAACTATTGAAAACTTCTCCACTTAAAACAATTCATTTCAGATTCTCATATTTTTCAGTGCAATAAACTGTTATAATAACTTCCGTCAATGATTAGAAAAATCGACTCGGAAGTTTTTTATTCTGCAGTGAAGAAATTACTACAGTCGTGAGGAATTTTTGTCTGACACTTTCCCGTGAATTTGTGAAAGTAGTCGATAATAGAGCTTCTCCTCGACTTGTAACTTGATGAGCGTTTATATCAATTATATGAATTTCTATGTTTTTTTTTGTATTCGTGTGACTTATATCAATTGTTATTTATTTTTCATAATGTTCTTACTATATTTGTGTGTATTTTATTATGACGTAAAACATATACCCAGTGTACCAAAGTGTGAAATGAATAAATACATATTTTCTGTCGTCTAGATTCGACTTTCAAGTCAAATAATAACTGGTGTTATGGTAATAAGTCTAGTTATTTCAATCATTGGTATCATCCTTTTTTAGAATGTATATTGCTCATCATAGTTTCATATTTTCTGAGAACATCCCACAAGAAAAACATATTTGCTAGGTATGCTATAGATTTACTAAGCATGACATGCATTTTTTTACTATAACGAAACTGATATTATAGGTATCCAAACTATTGGAATTTTTTTATGAAGCAATTACAGTTAGTACCTGTTTCTCTGTATGGTTCAGAAAAAATGAGTCGAAGAGATATCTTCATCAGTTCTGCAACCTGGCTTAGGGATATTTGTAATTAACTTATCAATTACAGAAATTGAATAATCACTGATGGTATCGGCGGAATTAATTGATTTTCAACTTGTGACTTTCCATTGAATCGATTTATTATTATTTATTATTGACCACGCTGTAGTACCAATATTTTTACTATTTAGAATTCTGTCATTATAACAACCAACGTCAGTTTCTCTAATTTTTTTCATATAATGGTTTTTCATGTTTGTATACTTTTGTTTATGTATTTCACTAACCACGTCATTCACGTCATTAACCAGAGATCCTTCTGATTATTCATATTATTCCTCGTTTGTTTTAGATTATCGTCAAACCAATTGTTTTTTCTAATAGAAAAGAATATACAGTGCTTTAAGTTAATGTCCCGCTACCCCTTTCATTTTTTGAACGGGTCAACTCAAAAAATTTAAATTTGGGATAATGACACTAATGCAAAAATACTTTATTTTGAAGTGAAATTGACAGATGAAACTTTCAAGATGGCGACTGGGCGCCGTCTGAAAAAAAAATGGAAAAAGGGATCTTGTGACACATCTTTTTGAAGCTCCTGACAAATGCTTCGCAACCCTAGAATATAATGTCAATATCTTCAATTACTACAAAATGGCGGAACTTTTAAGAATTGCCTGAATGCATTGACATTTAACTACATAATATGAGGTAATAAGCTTGAGATCAGTTCAGAAGATACTCGAAATGGTTGCCATAAACGTCTTCACATATGAACAGCCTATCCGATATTTCACGCTGAACATTTTCGAACACAGTAACGTCAATATCTCCACAACGATTTATCATTCTCTGCCGTATATCCAACATTGACGCAGGTTCAATTTCGTATACCTTTTGCTTCAAATAGCCCCATAAGAAAAGTCCAAAGGTGTCAAATCTGGCGAGTAGGCTGGCTATTCTGTAGGACCTCGACGGCCAATCCAACGACCGGGAAAAGTAGTATCCAAATAGTTCCTTACTTGTCTGGAGTAATGTGGTGGTGCTCCATCTTATTGGAATACAATATCCATATCGAATTCATTAGGATTCGCTTCGACGATTTCAGTGATTAACTATCATTTGAATGTCTACCGCCTTACTAGATCGCACTGTAACTCCCACTTGACTGTCTCGATGGGCGAGTGGATGGCGCTTATATTTGGCAATCGAAGGCCCTCGGAATTCCATCAAAGACGTTAGCATTATTCTCGCTACATCTAGAGCGGCAGCGAACATCTGACTTGTCTATTTAGTCCAAGTCTTCAGAAAACACTGCAGCCTCTTGGGCTTATTGCGTTTATTCTCCTATCTTCTCATGACACCCATTCCATCAGTCTCGTTCCCTGTACTAGTTTGTATAGGTTCCATGTTGGATGTTCGTCATATTCTTCTGGACGTAATTTCGTATGTCCTTATATTGCCTGCCTCCTGTGATTCAGTGCTTCACATTCGCATAATATGTGTAAAGCTGTTTCTATCCCTTCATTGCATAATCTGAAGCCGAGGTCTCCGTTGTACAGCCCCATTTTATTCAGGTGTCCTCTAAGCGGACAATGACCGGTTAGTAACCTTGTAATTATTCTGAGCCGATCCCTACTATATTGAAGTAGATCTTCGGTTCTTTTCTCGGACGGTTCCCTAATAAAGGTTCTACTGTGTTTGTTGCCAGGTACTTTTGTCCAGTACTCTGTGTGCTTCTTATTGGTCCATGTCCTAATCTGGTTTCTTATCAATGAGTTTGGTACCCCCAGAGCTGGTTCAGGACCTATATATGAAGTTGATGATCCGCGTCTAGATTCATCAGCTTTATCATTACCTGTGATTCCTGAATGCCCTGGCACCCAGTACAAAGTTAATTTGTTCCTGTTTGCAAGTTCTTTCAGTTCTTCATGGCATTTCCATACCAGTTTTGATGTCACCTTCGGATTTGTCAGAGCCCCTAGTGCGCTCTTGCTGTCTGTAAAATTCTTTGACGTCTCAAGTTATTAAGCCTTATACACTGAAAGATAGCATACATTTCCGCCAGAAAGACGAATGTATATAGTGCTAGCGAATAGCTGTAGTTTAGATTTCCATCCGTTCGGTATTTTCCAGCTCCCATTCCATGTTTGGTCTTCGATCCATCTGTATACCAGGTGTTTTTTCCAAACATGTTTTCGAGATGACTAATGGTCTTCCACTCTTCACGGCTTATGATTTTGGCCGTGAAGTTTGTGTTAAAGGTGTACTTCGGTGTCATGTGGTCCGTGCACATATTCAATATGTGCTCCTCCACTTGTTCCGAAATTTCTGTTCGGTCCGATCTTTTGTAGTTCGGTGAGTTTTCCAGTCTGGCCCATCCTGGCCTCCTCCATTATCACAAAGTGTAAAGGAGGTAAATTCAGGAGTGTCTCCAATGCAGCTGTTGGAGTAGTTCTCATTGCTCCCGTCATTCCCAAACATGCAAGTCTTTGCACCTTGCCTAGTTTGTCGATGGCGGTCGCCTGCTTCATCTTTGGCCACCAGACCAGAGATGCGTATGTTATCATGGGTTTAACCACCATCGTGTATAACCAATATACCATGTCTGGTTTTAGCCCCCATGTTTTTCCATAGGTGCGTCTGGCGAGCATCAGTGCCACCTCCGCTTTCCTCTTTATCCTGTCCAAGTTTTGGTTCCAGGTCAGTTTGGAATCTAGGATTACTCCCAGATATTTAACCTCCCCCGACACTTGTATTACTTCACCTAGAAATTTGTGAGGTCCGAGACCCTCCGTTTTATTCCTCTGGGTGAATGCTACTATGGTCGATTTGGATGGGCTTATGTTAAGCCCTTCTTCTTCGGTCCATCTTGTTATAATGTTCAGGGCCTGCTGCATGCATCCCTTCACTACATTATTGTATTTATCCTGGACTAAGATGACTAAGTCGTCTGCATAGCCCAGTGCTTTGTACCCTTTATGGTCCAAGAGACATAGTAGCTGCTCGTCCATTACAAGGTTCCATAATAGAGGGGATAGAAACCCCCCCCCCAAGGACAGCCCCTTGCTACCCGTGCCTCGACTGTTTCCCCCATAATGGTTGTATATACCAATCTTCCTCGCTCTTAGTTACGTCACAATTGGTTTAAGGCTACCAGTAGCGGCCAACGTTATTTTCTTTAGGTCATGATCTACAACAATACAGACATCGATACATTGATACGTACTTATAAACATTACTAAATTATTTGTGTATACAATGAGATATGCTTATACAGAGCATTGATTCATCCAAAATATATTTGTAAATATTGTTTTTTCCCACATTCTTTGAAAAAAAATGACAAATTTGTTTTGAATACTGTCAAAGTTCATAGCACAAATTATGTAATTAATTATGGTAATTTCCTATGTTACAGATTTACAATATTCTCTTATTCAATAAAGTCAGAGTTCAGGATTTTGAATTCCAATGGAAAAGTTTCCATTTAAATAAGAAGCTTTTAGAAGATCGCCTGCATCAGAAGAAGATGCACCTCAGACATATTTTAATTGACAGAGTGATGTTGCAACATGAATTCAGAATAGAGAGCAGAAATTGTTCCTTTACAAACACACACAAGCAAATATTGCTTGATTTGTTTGAACTGAGCACATCTAGATATAGTCAGGTAATATAACTAAGAGGTAAAGAAAGTAAGACAAAAAATAACTCAATTTTTAAGGTGAGAATAGCAGCCCAATGTAAGCTATATGCAATAATTGCCTATTATCCTTATTCGTATGCAGTCCTGACTGAGCAGATAAAGAAAATTTTGCAAATGGATTCCCAGCAGTGTCACAAAAAATTTAAGGGGTGCCTGTATGTTCTGTTAGGCCCAAAAAATTCACCAATAGTCGCAAGGCATGACTGGAAATTCATTGAACAAATATGGCCTTCAATCGTGAAATCTGTACCATCTGAAAAACCTTCTATTATCAATCTGATTACAACTGCTACTAATGTAGTAGACAAATATTTCCCTACGATTGCTATCAATCTGATCATTCCACAGAGTACTTTAGATGCTGCTTACAGATTATGCAATAACATTCCCAAGTGTGATTTGAGTGATTTTCAAAGTCATATCAACAATGGAGAGGTTTATCTAAGGAGGAAATCTGATGAACGAAGAATAGCATATGAAGGTACTTTGGAATCTCTAATCGATGCCTTAGAGACTGGAAATTTGTAAGTACTCTTTGTACAAAAAAATAGAACTTTCAAATGGTTTAAAAATAGCAGATTTATAACTTTGGTTTTTGAAAATGAAATATTTTATTGTATCAACAAACTTTGTCGCAATACTGCATTCTGTCACATTTATTACCTCTGACTTTTCAGTAGTTCAGTATCCTGATAGAACCTTCATAGTTGTGAAATTAGTTTGCAATGCTCTTTATAGCTACCAGAGCTTTCGCTAAAGATAATTCTCTTTTTATAGTTATAATATGAAAGAAACATGCACATGGAAAAACGAATAAAACATATATTTTCATATAAAAGTATGTGTTTTAGAAGGATAGGATGCTATATAGCAGATACAAGTGGAAAACGAAGACAAAACAGTTAATGTTTGCGTTTAATCAGGGAAAGTCCTGTTTGGTTGATAGCTTGTACTCGGTACAAGTTGGAGAAATCTGGAGTTTATTCAAGTGTCCGGAGTGTAGTAGTGTTTATGTGAGACAATGTGGTCGAAATTTCCAAAAACGGTACGCTGAACATGAAAGGTCATTCAGACTGAGAAAAAATGATTCGACGTTTTCAAACCATTCCTTGGCATGCAACTACAAGTTCCCGAATATAAACGATGCGGAAATTTTGCACTATGCAAGGAAGGGTTGCAAACTCAATTATTTAGAATCCATGGAAATTCACAAGCATAAACATTGCGGGTGCAACCTGTTAAATGATCAAATCGATTTAGTTTACTAACCGGTTTTCAAATTAGCATATCGGCATTGTAACTAGTAAACAAAATTCCGGCACCCAATCAAGCTAAGTACCTCTATTATTACCTACAGGGGTACTATATAAGGGCTAATGTAATCAACAATTGTTAGTTTAATGTATAAGTATTTTTAGGTACATATTCATATTTTTTTCATTACTCTGAGCGTTTTCTACAATGAACTTCGAATAAGAAAACCTTTTATGATTATTTGAAGTATTTCTCTTCTGCTTTTTACACAAAAGCCATTTTTATTTTTTACTTATGAGTAATTTTTTCATCTTAAAAATGGAACACCCTGTATTGTAGTGAAAAGCAAAAAAGCATTTTTGAAGTCATTCTATCGAAAAATTAAGAATTTTGAATAGTTCATTATTTTAATAAATACTCAAAATGGTGTACATTATTCTCGATGCATAGGCAAACTCTTTCTTGAAATTCTGAGATGTCATTGGCTGTGTATCGTGAACAATACTTTTGATATATCCTCATAAAAAATAAGCGGGACTTGTAAGGTCCGGAGACCTGGCTGGCCAGTTCTGTGGACCACATCATCCTATCCATCTATTTGGATATTGTCGATCTAACTCGTTTCTAACACAACTATCAAAGTGTGCAGGAGCACCATCTAGCTGCATTCACATCCGTTGACGAATATTAAGAGGTGTGACAATATGCCTTGGGTACCGGTACCTTTGGTTGAGACACAGCACTGCTGGCCTTATCGATGTAGTCGTGCAGAGCGTAGCTGCGAGAGAGTAGTATTCCTGGGTATTTGGGAGACATTTCTGGCATTTGAAGTTGTCGGTAAACTCAATGTGACACTAACGTATTCCAAAAACACTTTATTGTGAGATTTTCACTAAATTGTTTTACAAAAACGCAACACGTGTTTCTCCGTTACTGAATATATTTTTTCAAATGTGAAAATGGAACATAAGTGCAGGTAATTTAATTCGTTAGAAATTCAGGTAAAATATCAGCTACTTAAAATTCAGGTACTTCGTTTACAGGTACTTTGATTTCAGGTACTCCATAAACTATATATATATTTAGTATTGAATGTGTAGAATTAGTTGAAAGACACGCCAGATGAAGCCATTGTATGGCGAAACACGTGTTGCGTTTTTGTAAAACAATTTAGTGAAAATCTCACAATAAAGTGTTTTTGGAATACGTTA